AACTGATTTCCAAAGAATACTGTGAAAGTAAGTAAATGAATATATTATAAACCAGCTTGTTGTGGCACTTGTGTACCGTTCTCTTGAAGAACTTGTGTTTTCTAGGTGTTTTTGTAAACTGCATGAAGAACCGTATGTGATCCAAGACTCACTCTCACGTGACAAATGCTGTTTGTGGGCTTTTGTTACTTATCCTGAGCAGTGGGTACTATGGAGAGAAGTCATTGGGAATAGCTTGGGATTGCTCCCAGAGGTATAGTAATGCACTGAAGACTGTGCAGGATGGAGATACAGGTCTTCAAAGAGAAAGCAAGCTGGAAAGGAAATGACTGAAGATGCACGTCAAGTGCATCTCAAGACTCAAGTAAGCAACTGAGGGACTTCTTAGTCCCTTCGTAAGGTTGATGGTCCTGCCATAAGAACAGATGCTGAAAAATAGAATTACGAGCTATTTGCTGGGCACAAGGGCAGGAGGTATAAACCTGAGACTGATAAGGTTTTTGAAAGCAATGAGGAAATAACTTCCTGATGAATTTTGACTCATTGTGTGTCAAAGATAATGTTAAATTCTTCATGGAACCTGTCAAGGATACTGTGCTAAGTTGTGGGAGATGCAGGCAGTCCTACCTGAAATAGCTCGAATCCCTAGTGAAAGAGGACGAAGATACAGGAAGACAGTGAAAGTCAGAGAATTAATCAAGAACTGATTGTACTGGTTTTGGCTGGGACAGAGTTAATTTTCTTCACAGTATCTAGTATGGGGCTATATTTTGGATTTGTCATGAAAACAGTGTTGATAACACAGGGATGTTTTCACTACTGCTGAGCAGTGCTTACACAGAGTCAAGGCCTTTTCTGCTTCTCACCCCACCCCACCAGCGAGTAGACTGGGAGTGCACAAGAAGTTGGGAGGGGACACAGCCAGGACAGCTGACCCCAACTGACCAAAGGGGTAGTCCACACCGTATGTCATCATGCTTAGCATATAAAGCTGGGGAAAGAAGAAGGAAGGGGGGATGTTTGGAGTGATGGCGTTTGTCTTCCCAAGTAACCGTTACGCATGACGGAGCCCTGCTTTCCTGGAGATAGCTGAACACCTGCCTGCCAATGGGAAGTAGTGGATGAATTCCTTGTTTTGCCTTGCTTGCATGCACAGCTTTTGCTTTACCTATTAAACTGTCTTTATCTCAACCCATGAGTTTTCTCACTTTTACCCTTCCAATTCTCTCCTCCATCCCACTGGGGAAGGAGTGACTGAGTGGTTGTGTGGTGCTTAGCAGCCCACCAGGGTTAAACCATGACACTGCTGAAGTATGGGTGGGTAGTAGGGATGTTCAGTTGCTGGCCTGCAGTTAGTCACTGAAGGGGTGGGGGAGGGGAAGAAAAGGAAGAAAGAAAAAAAAGCCTTCTCAAAGGTAGGATAATGCCAGAGAAAATAATCTTTTTGGGAAAATGCTGCTGTAGTTAAGTTTTAAACTGAGACGGAAAGGAAGAAGACTAAGGGAATCTTCCCTTCCAGGTGTAACTGGGTAAAAGGAGGTGCAACAATATTTAGTAATGGATTATCAGTAAGGAGAAAGGTCTTACAATGGATAAGTCAGGTAAATAGTAATAGCTTAGTGGAAAAATTGTGCCTAATACAACTAAGAGCTTAAATTTATATAAATAGCAATAGCAGTCTGAGCAAGAGAACAAAGTGACTTGAACTGCTGTTGCAGGGTATGAATCTGGAAATTGCAGCAAAAATAGAAATATGGCAGGGATAGGAGGAAAGATTCACAGCTGGAACAGTAGTACTTACTGCAAAGTATGCATTGCACTAAAAGGATTGAAGTGAAGGGAACATTTGCAGGGTAGTACTGATCATAACAGTGCTATAGATAAACAAAAAGTAATATGCATTAAAAATAAAAAGATCATTTGAGTCAAAACCACTTTGTCTTACCTTTCATTTTTCTATAGTAGGTCTGTGAATTTGTAGTACTCCACTCTCTGGCTCAAATGTGAACAAAGGTCTTAAGAGTGCTGTTAGGTAGCCTATTTTTGAAAATGTACTGTGATGCTAATCAACAGGTACCTTAGTGGAAATAGGAGGAGACAGATGCTGCTCTGTCTGATGACAGAGCGTAGATTTTCCTGGATATTGTAACTGACTGGTTCTATATATCCCCCTGCTCCCCCAAGAAGTCGGGAAATCAAGATGATCTGGATAAATAGTTATGTTTTAAATCATCTTGTCTTAAAAACACAACAATTATACTGGTCCTGTTGGTTTGATTTAAACTAAACAGAAGAATAAACAAATAGGGCACTTCACTTAAATAAACTCTTGTAATCTAAGGAAAGTGAAATAAACCAAGGAGCTCAGAGAGATGAAGGAAGGATGAAACTTCTTCAAGTGTGAGATGCTAAACCAGTACTGAAACTCTACCACAAGTAAGAAAAAGGTAGGAGGGGGGGACGTTGCAGGAAGAGCCACTGAAGACAAAGGTGGTTGAGCTAGATGAAGAGCTCACAAGGAATATGAAGAGTAAGTAAAGAGTTTATAGGTGTTCACCACAGAAGAATTAATAAATGGGAGCAGCTTCCTTTGCTGTCCAAAATGGGGGGAGAGAGTAGGAACTGACAGGAATGAATTTAAATTGGGTCAGAAAGCTACTAAACAATTTGAGGTTTTTTCAATTATATACACTTTTAAGAAAGAATAAAGAAACAAATGTGTTTACTGCATAGCGAAGATGATGTAAATACAATTATCTAGATGAAGGCCCAGAAGAGAGGGATTTCAAACACAGAGCAAAAATGATAGTGGAAATAAAGTGGGACAGTGGAAACAGCCGTTTTTAAGATGAAGTCCAAAATCCACTTCATTAATGCCTTCTTGTCAGAGCATCAGCTGTTCTTCCAGAGCTCTGGGATGGACCTTCCAAATTGCAGATACAATAGCAAGAGTTTTATCTTGCTTTTTAAACAAATTGAATATTCCATACTGTAATTGAAGACTATGAGATCGTGTAGATATAGAGATTTAAATGCTCTTCTGTTGATCACTAGACAGTAATGAAGGAATCGCTGGCTTTGACAAAGTGACATAAATTTGATTAGGATGTTTGTCAAGTATATATACTCTTTCCACAGATTCTACGTGTATGTTCAGGCTCAATAAGACGACTAATACTACGGGATTTTGACAGGAATTCAGAGTTTATTGTGCAACCAGTTCCAGTTATGCAGATTATCAAACTCATCTGTGAGGGTACAAAAATAAATTAAGGATGTATTAGAAAATAAAATGAAAGAAGTCTGTCTCATGAAAGTTTTACTTCTGAGTGTTTGCTGAATATTATTTAGTATAACCTAAATGTGGTGTTGATGTGGAAGTTACATGAGGAGGCGCAGCACTTTGCGTATTTAAGGACACACTAAGGAAGCAGTCTGCCAAAAGCTGACTACTGTACGTACAAAGTGCAGAATATGAACATTATGGAAATTTCTTAATTTTTCAATAAAACTTAAGATCCAATTCTTGAGGTCAGCTTGTGTTCTTAACTATGATTTATGGCTTAGTCATGGACTATGAAGACATTAAAAGTGAAGAAGATTAATGATCCTAAGCTTGTCATAAACAGCTGCAGGTCTACTAGAAAGGAAGAAACAATTAATAGGTACTTTAGAATATCAGCTGTCAATTTACTTTATCAGGTAAAATAAAATTCAGTGGGCTTACAGCAAGATACAAGTATATGGAGCTGGTTATCTTCTGCGGACTAATGGAGAAGTGTTACCAGGAGAAAGGGGCAAGTATTTCCATACTTCTGGAAAGGCACAGGTGAGATGACTGAATGCACTTCTAGTCAACAATGCTCTGAAAGTTGAGGTTTCTGTGGGAATAGGAGAGGGTACTTGCATTGTCAAGGGGAAGAGGCCATTTATGAGGAGGCTGAAAGAAAGTGGCTTGTTTACTGTAGCAAATGGAGACCGATCTATAGAAAGAAGTTTGATAAATAAGGGAAAGGATGGGAGAACACTGAAGTCAAGGGACATTGTTGATACAAGAATAAATGCTATTAGTCAGTCATGAATTAACGTATGTCTGAAATTTCATAACAGGTTCATAAGCATTGGATCAACAAGATTTTGCAATATCCTTCCAAACAATGTGATGGGACCAAAGTCAAACTACTTTTAACATCAGGCTTGATAAATTTTATGAAAGAAACCAGTGATGTGAAATCTTCTGTAGCAGAGGATTTACACATGTGACTCGAGGCTTTTTCTTCTCATTTTCCTGGGATTGCAAACGTAGTGTTAGGCCTTGATTCTGTGTAACTCACCAACCATTTCTTATCATTCACCAAAAGAAGAGATCTTGGATCTAAGTGGTAATTCAAAAAATATAGGATGAATTCCATGGAATTGATAAAATTTATTTTTGATACCCAATATTTTAGTACGGGATGTTTTGGTGTGTTTTAGATTTCACAGGGAAAGCTATTATTGTATAAATTATACGGTTTGTTGGCAAATGTCCTGTTAATAGTCTAACAATTAGAACTTCCTGGGACTGTTTTACAGATATATAAATTTAATTTTTGATTGTTACTTTTGCTCATGTACTACTATATATTGCTTCATTGGTGTAAATGTTACAGTCTGTACGTATGTAGTATCTTTTCAGAATTGACTGTGTAAAATAAGTATTTTACTTAACATTTTCTGAAGGATTTGTGTTATCAATGCATGAGACCATAAGTCATTGGACAGTAGTGAAAACATGTTCTGGACTTAGTGTATTCAGTGAGGGGAAATAGATACAATTCCAACAGTAACTTGAAGTAAATGTTTAGAGAGAAGAGGGTGTATTACCGCGTGTGGTAATGTATGAATTGTTGGCTTGCTGCATTGTCATATACTCTCCCCCCTATTGAGCTGATAGGAACAGAGGAGTGGGAGTGAAATCAACTAGGAAAAGCTATAAAAATGGATCTAGCACAGCTAAGCATAGTGATGAAACATTTACATGAAGGAAAAAAAGTTGAGTTGTTCTGAAGCGTCATGCAAAATGAATCGTGTTCGGGTGTTACTTTGAGTGTGGATTTTGTTTTTTCTCTGGATCTAGGCCAAATCTGGGAGCTTCAGCCAAAATGTGGAATTCCTCAATTTGCTGCCCAAGAGAGGCCCTAATGCCTTCTCAGCCTTCTGTGAAGCTCTGCGAGAAACAAAACAGCAGCATCTGGAGGCAATGATCTTGAAGACAACATCTAACCTGAGCCATGGGATTGCAAGGGTACAACAGTTCAAAAAAAAAATAAAATAAAATGGATGGACTGCATTTCAGATTGGTTTGGGCACAAAGTGATCTTTCAAAAATGGAAAAAAAATAATGGTTTACAAAGGACAGGATGGGTTTTCATTGCAACTTGTAGTAGCCTTAGTAAAACCAGAGGGGAACAAATTTGGGAAGAAGAGAATTTTCATACAGAATCACAGAATGGTTGAGGTTGGAAGGAACCTCTGGAGGTCATCTGGTCCAACTCCCCAGCTCAAGCAGGGTCACCTTGAGCAGGTTGCCCAGGACCACTTCCATATGGCTTCTGAATATCTCCAAGGATGGAGACTCTGCAACTTCCCTGGGCAACCTCCTCCAGTGCTCAGTCACCCTCACAGTAAAACTGTGTTTCCTGATGTTCAGAGGGAGCCTCCTGTGTTTCAGTTTGTCCCCATTGCCTCTTGTCTTGTCACTGGGCACCACTGAGAAGAGCCTGTCTCTGTCTTCTTTGCACCCTCTCTTCAGGTGTTTATGTACACTGATGAGATCCCCCTGAGCCTTCTCTTCTCCAGGCTGAACAGTCCCAGCTCTCTCAGCCTTTCCTCCTATGTGAGGTGCTCCAGTCCCTTCATCATCTTTGTGGCCCACTGTTGGAGACTCTCTAGTATGTCTGTATCTCCCTTGTACAGAAGAGCCCAGAACTGGACACAGGACTCCAGGTGCAGCCTTGCCAGAGCTGAGTAGAGGGGAAGGATCATCTCCCCTGATCTGATCTGCTGGCAACAGTCTCCTAATGCAGCCCAGGATACCATTAGCCTTGTTTGTGGCAAGGGCACGTTGCTTGGCTCATGTTCAACCTGGTGTCCACCAGGTCCCCCAGGACCTTTCCTGCCAAGCTGCTTTCCAGCTGGTGGCCCCCAGCATATATTGGTGCATGGGGGGGCTCCTCCCCAGGTGCAGGAGTCTGCACTTCTTGTTGAAGTTCATGAGGTTGACTTCATGAGGTTTCAACTCTTAATGATTCTTTTTTCCATTTTCTTTCTAATTTTTTTCCCAATATCCTCAGAAATTAATTTCAAGTTTTGAAACATTTTGTGATAGATACTTTGTTGAACTGTACAAGGTTCCTGGATGTTCCTATATCCAACATGTTCTTAATTGATGTGTCATCAAGAACCCAAAAGCTGCAAAGAAATTAAAAGATTTCAGAGAAAATACTTTAGTATTCAATGATACTCTTAGTAGAAAGCTACTGAAAGCTAGTCTTGTCTGTTGAGGAGAGAGGGACTCTCTGTATTTTGTTATTTTTATTTTCAACTTTTCACTCTCTGCAGTTGTCAGCATTGGACTAAGGGAAGAATTTAATAAATATTCAATATTTTCAGTGCTGCATTGATGAGCATGGAATCTCACAGTAAACATTTTATACAAAGGAAGGAAGACCAGATATTTTTGAGCAGACATGTTGTTCCCTTATTAAAATGTAGGATTTATTAGACTGCCCTTTCTATTTTTTTTTGCTTTCAATTGTGGTTTACTATACAAACACTGAAATCTTGTAAGCAAACAAAAAGATAGGAATCATTGGACAAATCAAGTTTTGGCAAAAATGGGGAGGATGTGACCTCAGTGTAAGGTTTCCAAACTGGGTATTTGGGTAGAAGTAGAGATGTGCAAAGAAAGGAAGGAATTTTGCATTGACAGAAAATGTTGCTGCTATCTTGTCATGATGTTTCATGTGGAAGTGAACCATGATATTTTTTAAGTCATATAGATGTGTATGTAAATGCATGTATCTTTGTTCCATGATACCTACAGGCTTATACCGTAGAGAAAAAAAATAGTTGTTTTATGCTACTCTTTTTCATGGATTTATTGGATGTCTTGTAGCTTGAACACTGTAACGGATCAAGTCTTCCATTCCCTGCCAGTGAATCATGTAATTCAAAGAGACCGCGCTGGATTGGTGAGTCGCACGTGACATCATGAATACTTGATTGGCTATCTGGTTGGTTGCTTCTAATTTCTTAATACTCTCTTAATTCAATTCTAGAAATAAGCTTGCCACCACTTTGCTCATCCCAGGAATACAAACTTGACAGTGAACTGACTATATTATGATCAGATGCAGGAGGCAGAATTAGGCTAGAAAATGAAAGTGAAATAGCATATTGGAAGAGAGAACCCAATCAGTTTCTAGTCAGCTTCATTTATTCTTACAGGAAATTTTGTTACTTAGACAGTAAAAACGTCAGTAAATGTCAGTAAAATTTTAGATTTTTTCAAAGATCTTCGTCTTTGTTTAAGATTTGTAATAGAGTTTAATTGAACTAGAGCTGTGAAAAGGTACTGATTTTGGGCAGTATTCCTTAACTTAGACTTTCTTCTTAGCAAGTAAGTTTAAGTACAAGGCCTTACATATGTTACATGGGCCCAACATAGATTTCTGTAGCTTCTGTTGAGTGCAGCAAATCAGCTTTTCTTTAGCAAGCATTTGTGGTAGGTCAGGGAACTGGTTGTTGGAATGAATCTCCTTGCTAATTTTCATGTGGCCTCTGGTAATGCCTGGAGTACTCATGTTCCCTAACCACAGCTTTAACTGTGTGCTGCTTACTAGGAGCTCTCTCTGGTGTTAAAGAACAAGTGTTTAGATTTTGAAGGCTTTTTTTATTTAGCTGCAAAGGTTTTAGGGTTGGGTTGTTTTGGTTTTTTAGAGCATATGTTCCTCCAACCAGGAGAGCCGTATCTCAAAAGGCTGAAAAAGGATTTCGAAGGAGATCATGAATGTCATTAGCTCCATTTCTTCAGGACAGGGGAGTGAGTGTTTGTCTGCAAATGGCAAGTAGTTGATTATCATTCCCCTGATCTGCTGTTATCCAGAGGAGAGGGTTGTTCAGAGACAGATAAATAAAAAAGGGCATTGCACTTTATGGAAGTTAGAAATGTCTAGTTTGATCATTTATGCATGTGTTCAGCAAAAAATAAATAATTGTGTCCAGTGAGCGTGGGAGGCCTTTTATGAAAGGAAAAGCAATATTCTATTTGAATATTTCTAGCAATGGTTTGTCAGCCTAACAGTGAAAGAGATAACATACTGTACAAAATGACAGAAAGCACACGGCTCTAATTTCAGATGAGAATTCTGTTTTCATACTGTGTAGAACCAAATTTACTAGGCCTTAGATAAGGCTAACCCACATACAAGACAAAAAAAAGTTGCCAATTAAAATTATAAAAAAATAAATATACCATTCCAGTACTTCTGTTTTTCCTGCTGTGTTTCATTATGTGTCTGTAGTCCCTGATCAAGCAAAATTTTGAGAGGTACGAATAGTATAATACAGGAATAGGCCTAAGACCACATACTTCAGAATTTGCAAATTACTACCTTAATGCAGAGGCTTTGTAGCTGGAATTTTTTATTGTTATTGATATGTTTGTTTTGCACAGAACCAATGGAACATTCCTTGGATAATGGGGATGGTCCCTCAATTCCTCCAGTGAAGTACTGCACTCCTGAATTTTATCATGATCATCAGCATTTGGTAAGTAGTTGACAGAGAAAATCTTCTTAAGATGTGAAAGATGTGAGATGTTTGGAGATATCAACTGAACACGCGCTACTTAAAACTGAGTCAAAACACATGCTTCTTTGGGATGCAGATCAGTGTTGTGCTATTTGTGTAACTGAAAGATGCTACCAGTCATGTTTGATTTGATGTAGTTCTCATTTACAAGTGTCAAGAAATTCTGAGTAGTTCTGTAACTATATATAAATGTCTGCCTCTGGTTTTTGCTCACGAAGAGCTTTGTGAAATGCCTTCTGTTGCTCTGTGTAAGCTGTCAGTATTGTTGCCTCATGTTTAATTGTCTGCATCCTCTTCTTCTGTGTGATGACACACTCTGCAAATGACTGTAGGATACTAGAATTGTGTTTCAACTAGTAGTCACAGTCTTGGCTGTTTTAATTGCCAACTTGTACCCAGAAGAGTCTTTTCTTAGGCTCAAGAACCAGATCAGGATTCTGTGCTGGGTGCTACTGGGTAGAACAACCTGAATTTCTATTCTGCAGCATTAGAAGTTACATAGGTAGTCTAATTACTTTTTGTTTATTCTGTTTGTAAAGCATAGGTTGTGGTGAGGTAGGCTTAAGGAAAAAAAATAATTTCGTGTAGTGGGGCAGACACTTTACTAGAGTTACACAATGTGCTAACACTTAAACAATTATGTCACACGCTCTGTGTACAGCAAAACATTTTTTTTTCTTTTTTTTAAACTATCAATTGGGGAGACCTAATTAGGCAGCATCAGTGTGAGCTTGACTTGCCTCCTTTTACGTCTGCTCCTGGATACACCCTCTTTGATATGCTCCTTTGGTATTAAATTTCACTTCCAATTTACAGGAGTGTTAGTAACTGATTTACTATTGATTTGTTGTTGTTAGAGTGGGAGGCGCAGAGAGGGAACTTATTTTGAAGACACCCCTCTTAAATTAGTTCTTTCCCTGTTAACCTTTTTTGACAGCCACATAACTTTCAGGATCAGTGATTGACAGTCCCTTATTATTAAAATTGTACTCACATGCTATTTTACATCTCTATCTGCTCCCAACGGCAATTAAGAAATGTTAGCTAAATTCTACATAGTGCTGTCCTAAGGCCTTTGATGGGGATGATGGAAATATGTGGGGCCATGCTGGCGTGAGGGTGGGAAAAGGGAAAAAAGTTAGCAAGACCTAATTCACAGTTTGAAATGTATAAGCTGTGTTTCTTTTAAAATGAGAAATAAGGCAAGCTAGAATAATATCTTAATAATAGTGTTGTAGGATCATCAATTGTGGAGACTTGAAAATACAGTTATCTTTGGGACACTTTGCAATACAAACATTTGTTTTATTTATTTAAAAAAAAAAACTTCAAAAATTTGATATCTACTGTTGTTGTGCCTTCTCAATCGAGAAATCCTGCATATTGTATCAAGCTGGTATGTGGGGATTGCTGTTCTACTCTAACACTCCATTATTTCCTTGTGTAGTCTAAATTTACCAATTTTAAATCTTCTTCTCAGGCATATAAACTGATATCAGAGCCCCGAGGCTTAGCACTTATTCTCAGCAATGTCCATTTCAGCAGCGAGAAGGACTTGGAGTATCGTTCAGGGGGAGATGTGGACTGTACTTCCCTGGAGATGCTTTTCAAGCATCTTGGGTATCAAGTGACTGTCTTTCATGATCAAACTGCACAGGTAAGGGGAATGGATCCCAGTTGTTGTGGTTTAACCTGGCAGGCAGCTAAACACCACACAGCCATTCGCTCACTGCCCCCCCCACCCCCAGTGGGATGGGGGCAAGAATCGCGCGGGGGGGAGGGCTGGTGGTGAAGTAAAATTTGTGGGTTGAGATAAAGACAGTTTAATAGGACAGAAAAGGAAAGGAAAATAATAATAATGATAAAAGAATATGCAAAACAAGTGATGCACAATGCAATTGCTCACCACCTGCCGACAGATGCCCAGCCAGTTCCCGAGCAGCGGTCACCGCCGCCCGGCGAACTCCCCCCAGTTTATATACTGAGCATGATGTCATATGGTATGGAATAACCCTTTGGCCAGTTTGGGTCAGCTGTCCTGGCTGTGGCCCCTCCCAGCTTCTCGCTGGCAGGGCACGAGAAGCTGAAAAGTCCTTGACTAGTGTAAGCACTGCTTAGCAACAACTAAAACATCAGTGTGTTATCAACATTATTCTCATCCTAAATCCAAAACGCAGCTACTGGGAAGAAGATGAACTCTATCCCAGCTGAAACCAGGACACTAGTACTTCACAACCAGTATGGAGAAGAGTTTGTAATGGTTACATAAACATCTTAAGAGCTTGCCTTTGGTATAACTAAGCTTGAACAGGAAGATGTGAATGGTCACTTAGGAATAGAAAATAAGGCTAAATGGGGTGATGTCTGCTAGCATACTGACAAATATGAAGAAGCTCGGAAGGCAGAGGACTTTACGATGGAAAGTAGGATCACAAAGGACTACAAGAGGTACTGCTCTAGTCTGAACCCTTGTAGTGCAAGGGGCATGAATTTCTAGACCACACCTGGCATACGTGTTAAAACCACAAATGAATAAAGTCTCCAGTTTACTCTAGATAGACTTTTCCAGCGATCTGCTATCCTAAAAGTTAAACTTTGCAAATATTTGACCTAGTCTTTGCAAGCGTAAGTGATGTTTTCATGTCCGTTCACTGGTGGAGTCAATTGCCATCCTATTTATCAGTCTTCCAGTATCTATGCAGTTAAGTTCCACTCTTTCAGTCTTTGCTTTGCTAGAGAAGTGGCTGTGCTTCACTTAGGAAAATCAGCAATGTTCCATGACTGACTGAATCAAGGAACTCTCTCCCTCGGAGCACAAAAACTCCAGCATCATTTGTTCTTATTCCTTTTAGATCCCTATGAAACCAAGTGGTACAGAACCTGTTAAAGTGTTTTATTCAAGAAGGCAGCTTTTGCAACATTATAATAAGACTTTTACACTTGCCATGTTGTCAGAGTTCCTAAAGTTTTCTACTTTAAACTGTTGTGTTTTGATCACTAGTGTTTGAATGCCTGGAGTACCAGAGTGTGTATTTGTTAAGTTGCTCCAACATCCCAGCCAGACTCAAGTGTCAATGTAAAACCTCTGTAGATAGCAGTTGATTTCTTCTATGTTGAATCCGTATGTACCAACTCAGATACTTGCTGCATCCCCCTGTTGGCCATATAGAAATGTACATGTCCTAAGTGATTCCTGCTTCACAATGTTATACTTAGGACTGAATATTACATGAAAGAACAAGAACATTTTGCTGATTGCTTTTTTTTAATGGAATACATGTCTTTTGTCCTGGTTTATTTCATAACAGGAGAACTATTTGTGGTTTTCCCTGTACATTGACCCATTTACCCTGTGCAAGTCTGGAAGGCATTTTTTTTCTCTCTTCCAGGAGATGCAGAATGCATTGGAGAGATTCTCTAAGATGCCAGATCACCGGGATGTGGATTCCTGTATTGTAGCTTTACTTTCCCACGGTGTGGAAGGTGGGATTTATGGCAGTGATGGCAAACTACTACAGGTATATTCCTGTGTCCTGATGTGATGTGGTGTTGTAGGTTATGTCTTGGAAAGTAACAATGGAAAGAGGAAAAATGTTTTAAAAAAAAAAAAAGTGAGAGAGAAAGTGAAGTGGTGGGAGACTGAGGATTTACATTTTTTAAAAAGGAAAAAATAAGGGCTTGTGGGAAGAAAAGGGCAGGGGTCTGTCTATGAGAGGTCTGTAAGATAAAAAATGGCATAGAAATAGGGCAGGTGGGAGAAGTTACTTAATTCTGTCTTTCTGTACAAGTACTAGGTAGAGTGCATGAACTCAAACTAGTAGGAAGGGATGTGTTTGTCACACCGTGAGTTTGGAGATAAAGGAGAAAATATCAAGACTGGTGAGGTAATTACCAAAATACAGGGAAGCAAGGTGAGACTGGGTTTGGCTCACAGAAGGCTGCAGTGAAGTATATTTATCTTCTTTCTTCTCTCAGTTGCAGGAGGCTTTCCGGCTCTTTGATAATGCAAACTGTCCAAATCTCCAGAATAAGCCCAAAATGTTCTTTATTCAGGCCTGCCGTGGAGGTGAGTGCCCAAATACTAAAGGCCATGTATTTGGCATGCCATTAAGGCTCATTTTACACACATACACACCCTCACATTCAACTTGCTGTCAACTCTCCTCTTTGCTTCTCTCAGGTGTAAGTGGGACCCATATTCACCTCCCTCTGCCCTGCTGCTGCCACTGCATCTGTTGCTCTGTAAGTGTCTTTTGCTCTGCATGAGGTGTGTGCATTGACTTGCAGACCCCAGAGCACCTTAGTGATAAAAAATTCTATCATATCCCACTCATATATTGAGGCTTTCTCTTGCTATGTCTGCAGTAGGGGGAGTGGGGCATATGGTGCATCAAATTGCAGCACAGCATGGAGTGGTACACTAGCACTGGAGTGTTGTCTGAGGTCCTGTCTTTCTCTTGATCCAGGATGTGTTGTGTCTCTGGTGGTGGTGTGTCTCAAGCTATCAGGCTCCAAGTCTTGTCTTTTTTTTTTTCTCTCCTTCACCTTATCTTCCTCTCAGCCTCCAAGTGACCTTTCCTTACACCCTTTTCCGCATCCTATTATAGTTACAGAATTCTTTTCTGGATTCTCAGACTTGTTCTTTTTCCACTCTTTCTGTTCCTAGTTTTTTTTTTAATTCTGCTATTCATTTTCCCTCCTTTCGTAACTAAATACGTCTGTAACTTAACTACCTTTCAGATCTGCTAATGACCAAATTTTTCCCTAAAGTGTTTGGACTTTTTGAGATCGCTGTGAAACTGCAGATACTCCAAAGAGGAGTTCTGTCTTAAAAAGCTTTGTTTTTTCCCTTGTGAGAGAGAAGTTTTTCTAGTGTGTATGCTTTTTCCCCTTTTTTTCCTTTGGTCCTTGCAATTGTCTCCCTTCTTTTTCATTTTTAGCTGAGCTTTATATTTGTCCTCTAGCCAAGAGAATGTTTCCTTCACCTGTTACCTACTTGTGTTTAGTCCCAATGCAGAGAAAAACCTAAAGTCTACATGAAGTAATTTGGGTATCAAAAATATTTGGTCCTTTAAGCATTTGGAAATATTGTAACGTGCATGTTTACAATATGAATTGAATGTGATTGCTTTCCTTATGTTATTGAACCTTTAGATACTCTTGAACAAATGTGAATATACAGACTCATAACAGTGTGGAAGTAAGTGTAATAAGCCAGAAGTGGCAGCTGACCTAATTAGGTAATTAGGTTTATTTGACTGTAATGTTACCATAATGGGTCTGTACACATCAACAAATCAGGCTTGGCCTTCCTATTCCCAAAAAGGTTTCAGTTAAGAAAGCTATGCAAAATGCTGCAGAACTGGGATACTGCAACAGACAAAGGATTGGGACTTGAGAAACTGAAAGGGAAAAATCTTTCTTTAATTTAGGAAAAAAAAAAAAAGCACAAAACTGCCTTTTTTAACCTCTCTTTTAAACCTTGATTAATAGTTGGAGGGGAAAGCCAGTTACAAAGTAATTGAGCTGTCAACAGAAATGTATAGCTTTTCATTTTAGCATTCAAAGGTTAAACTAGCCAATACAATTTTTTTTTTTTTTAAAGCAGCATTTAAAAGACTGTATAAATAGTGTGGACAACTTTAGATTAGTAGTCAGTTTCTCTATGCCATGCAAGTTAGCTGGAACCAGTTGAAACAAAATGAGAAATGCATATATTATTCTTTTTCCCTAAGTTTATGTAATAGGCCTTATCTATCTTCTATTAATGACACATTAAAAATGTAGATAAAGAAGAGTTGGTACAGTTTACTTAATTTCCAAAGGGCCTTTGGCAGGAGTCTACTAAAGAATTTAAGTAGTCATGGGTCAAAAACTGGTGGCAACAGAAAGCAATGGGAAAAGACAAATAGTCAGATTTCACTATGACATAAGATGAGACTTTGAAGCTGCTTAACATCTGTGTTTATTATAGTAGTTGATCTAGAAAAGTGAAGAACTGTGGTAAATAATGACAAATAGGTAGTTAGTAGTTATTTAAATCAATTGGGAAAACAGCGATCTGGGAGCTTCAGTAAAATTTAAACAGACTGGGTCAATCTGGGTGGCAGTTATTGGTGATAGAAATTAGAGGTTAAGTATGCAGGGGAATATCCCGATAGGGTTAGTGCTTTACACTTTTTAGTCACATTGGTAAGTTGACTGGAATGGTGTTTGAAGACATGCATCTAATTCTGAAGAATTAGACATCTAGTTCTGAAGCTTTAATCAAAAAGGTTTTGACTTTATACATTACGGGATGATGATAGTGTGAATAATATAGCTTGACTGTAAAATTACCTGAGTCTTACCTGAAATAACATACACTGTGAACAGTATACTAAATTTTTAAAAAGATATAGAACTAAAAGGATTTGGAGAAGTGTGATAAAAGACCTGAAAAAAGTGTTGTTAAAAATGGAAAAATTTGCATTGCTACCTTAAAGAGATGATGAAGGAACTTGGTGGAGGTGATCATGAAATTTTGAGCTATGGAGCCTTAATTATAGGCTATATCTAGCCTGTCAGACAATCACACTCCTCCCACTGCTGCTTTCATTTGGGAAGAAAAGAATGATGTTGCTGACTTAAGAATTGACCGTTTCCTGTGCATAATTATGAGATGCCACCAGTGCCACTGCCTGTAAAAGGGTTAGAAATCCAAATGCATTTCTTAGGCACGACCTGCAAACAAAAACCTAGAGCCATCATAACGGGAAGGCCTCTGAAGTGGACGCTTATGCCTCCTAAGACTAGAATCTGACCCATGCTGTTAGGAAGTAAGTAGAACAGTAGATTCTCATCTTAAAACAAAAGAACAGAAGGGCAAAATTATATAGAAAACCTGTAAAATGTAGTTTTACTTTTCTTACAACATAGCTGGACTCTTAAAGTTATTGCCACTAAGCAGTTAGTCTAGATTACAATGGAAACTGTCATGTAAACAACCAATTGAGAATATCTACACTTGTCATAATACATACTAATGAATCCTGGAAAGGACGTTAAATGTTCTCCACGTTTTAAACTAATCTCCATGTACTGGAGTTCTCTCTCTCATGTTTGGGGTCAAATTATTTTGCATTTTACTATTGCACAATTTATGCTTTTGATTGACACAAGTGATATTATAGTCAGGATTTAGAACTAGGTGACATATTTGGTTCATGTTTTCTTGATGTCTTGGAGGCAGACCTTAGCAACTAAAATTATAGCTCTCATTTGAGTTCTGCAATAAGTGGGTAGTTAGCATTGCAAACTAGACGAGACATTTTTGGACGTTTCTAAGGTAGGTAAAAGTGGAAAATAGAAACTTTTAGGGCTAGGCATCAAATCTTTCCATGCATGGTGAAGAACTATCAGAAACTTCTTTGCTTTCCCGTCATGCTATGATCTGCCTAAGAAAGGGGGGGGGGATCAATAAGCATGCAGACTAACAGTCACGTTAGGTTGAGCAGGCTTAGCACTTGTTGCTATCTGCATTAGTTTGTGCAGAAGAACTTTCAGATGAGTTTTAAAAACAGCTGAAAAGGCTTAAAGTTCATGCAAAAGCTTTCTGCTTAACACCAGTTGTGGCATTGCTGACCAGAGCCCAAAACTAAGGAAGTACGGGAAAACTACATCCAGTAATTCAGGATAATTTCTTCTTTTTTTCTTTTTTTTTCTTTTCCCCCCCTCCCCCTCCTTGTTTATTGCCCCCCCAGATGAGACGGACCGGGGAGTGGATCAAAGAGATGGGAAAGAATGGTCAGATTCCCCAGGCTGTGAGGAAAGTGATGCAAACAAGGAAGAAAATCTCAAGCTGCGTCTGCCTACGTGCTCTGATATGATCTGTGGATATGCTTGTCTGAAAGGTACTGGGGAGAGGCCCTAATTGTTAAGGCATAAGGAGGCTTTAGGTGTCTGTTCCCCAGAGTCTTCATTGTACACACTTTCTTTTCAGGCACTGCAGCCATGCGAAACACCAAGCGTGGATCCTGGTATATTGAGGCTCTCACCTCTGTGTTTGCAGAGGACTCACGAGACACTCATGTGGCTGACATGTTGGTGAAGGTGAGCCGGAGTGACCTTCCTCTCCTCTCCCACACTTACCTGGTTTCTGAAGAGCCTTCCAGTGCTTCAAATTGCCGGGATTAATCTACTGTTAAAGCAATTGTTCTTGCCTTGTTTGTAGCAAAATTACTACTTCTTTCCCCATTTTTATACACCACCCACCCCCCCCACACACACACACACGCACTCCATCCTCCCCCTCTACAGCAGCTTAACGAAAGTAAAAATGCTGTTTCTTTGACTCCTTCCATTTCACTTGTGTGGTCGCATGGTGAATTTATGAGAAGAACTAATATGGCTTACCAAGAATTACTTTTCTTCTATAGAAATAACTTTTTTTCAGGTGGATTCATTCCCTGAACCAGCTCACCACATAGCTGCACAAGTGCTTGCACTCACATAAAGGAAAGACTAAGAAAATGGGCAAAGAGGGAGTGAAGACAGCAGTGTGACCACGGCAACTTGAGCTGCTGTGGAGCTGCACCATAGTTCTCCATCCTTCTTATAATTTAGAAAGATAATACATAGGGGGGACTACTTAATAAGTTAAAAAGAGTAATCTATGAGTACAGAAAGCAGTGACATTTTTCTTACTTCTGTCTTCTTAATCCTTCCAGTCATTTTATTTTTTTTAATCTCACATCTAGGTGAATAGGCAAATCAAGCAACGAGAAGGTTATGCCCCAGGCACAGAATTTCACCGCTGCAAGGAAATGTCAGAATACTGTAGCACGCTCTGTCGGGACCTTTACCTGTTTCCTGGCTATCTGCCAGGAAAATAACTGCCAGCTCTGTTGGAAGAGAGATGCTGCCAAAGCTGAACTTTGAGTATGGATGTCTATGTTTTCATTCTTATGGGCTGTGACATCAGGTGCACAAGCAAGGAATGCTTGTTTATATCTGGCCAGTCCAATTCTTGATGTCTTTTTCTAAAATAATCTGGCAACTCTCTTTGTAATCTGATTCAGTTCAGGGTTTAAAATTCTAATATCCTGACTTATTCCATATGTACAGAAATTGATGGAAAGAGGATCAGCACTGGAACTGGGAGGAAGTGGGAACATCCTTTGGAAGGAGACACAAGGACGTTTGTAAGCAAAGTGAATATGAAAAGGGAAACAGACTATTCATACATTTTTTTTTTAAAGTTAAGCCTTTCTGAAAGGAAAATTATTCATACAATGCTACTTATCTTATGCTTGTATTTTAAAATTTTTAAATACTTTCTGCCTGGTTCTTCATGCAGGACAGTCAGCTCCTGTGCACATTAGAAAAGGACTCCCCTGTGAAGGAGAATCCTTCCCCTCTTTAAAATGGAAGGTTTTTGTTTTCATTACTTGACACTTCCCTATCCATCTTGATCACTTAAAAGTCTATTTTTGTACATTCCTTCTGTAGCCGCCAAGTTATGAAGAGAACTACAAGACATCCCAGGTTATCAGCAAAACAAATAGAGATCCAGGATTTCTCAAACAGACAAATAAGCCTCCATAAACTGCCCAGAAATAGTTTTGAATCTAGAAATTCTAGATTAGCTCCCCTTAGTCCCAAGCGTGAACAACTGCATGGAATATTACTTTTGAGGAATTTGTTTGCCATAGTACTTGTGTGTCACAACAGGCATAGCATTCAATCCACCAACTTCTCAGGAGTCTATAAATTGTACTGTACAACTGAATCCCTGAAACCCTACAGCCTTGTACAAAAGGGTCTTGTGTCTTTTGTTTAATTAACAAAAATAGTCAAGGCAGCTCTTTACAGTCTAAGCGTGTTGCTTGGATTATTTATCACTGCAGTTTGTTTCCCTTTTAAATGAAAGGGAACTGTTTCACATTATTACCTTGTTATGTGAGTTTTCTTTCTTCAGCCATGATCACTTAAAGCTGTTTGTTTAGTCAATATTGTTTGCAAAGTGTCATTTCAACTGGTCAATAAGAAATGTTGTGGCATAATCTATCACTTCTTTTGGAAATTTCCTACACGGTCTCTTCATGCTGTAATTTGTCTCTTGCTTGTGTCCAGTTGCAGTTACTCCCATTTGATGTGATGTGGGAGATGGGCATTGTTCTCTTTTTGTGGTAGAGCCTAAGTCCTGATATACTGGGTTACATATGGACTACAGTCTGTTCACTTGAGTCCCGATCTTCTCCATTTTGTAGCAGTAAGTTGGCATAGTTCCTGGCTTACTCTTTTTATGTAAGTGTGGCTTTTAAAGTATTTTTTTAAGGATAGAATTATGAATAGGAAGTACAAAAGGATCTGGAGGGAGGCTGGAAAATTAGGCATGTGCTTTTTTTATTGTTCTGCCTAGGAAAATGAAGGCTGTGTTTCCTCCAGCTGACAAAGGTGCAGCATTATCATGCATCTTGCACTTACCTTACACACAACGTGATAAACAGAATAAGGATCATACTTGCCAATTGGTGCCTTACTCTGAAGTTTAAGATACCAGTTGAGGGGGGCTGTTGTACCTCCCTGGAGTATAAACACTTTCTCCCTGAGTGCTCCCTCTTTGAAATGGTGCAATATTTTACAGATACGTATATTGATGAAGCGGTCCACTCTGATGGATTAGATTTCTGTAGGATTGCATCAAGTTGCATTATCACTGCCACTTTCGTATATACTTTTTGTATACTTGTATTTTACTGCCTTGAGGTGTCAAAATAAAGAATTCTTGTTTGATTAATCTGTGTGGTATCTTCCATTTGGAGAGTTATATCTCTGTGTGGAAATGGAGCTTCTATATAAAGAGAATTTTGCATAACTTCTTGAGATAGTACTTCGCAGAGGCGCTTTTGAACTCTCGGGCAGAAGCCTGCTACTTGCTAGCTGCAACCAGTGTGGGCTGCTTGTGAATTTTGATAACAGCTGGACTAAACTAAAGTTAATGCATTTTTAATAAAGATATATGAGGCAGAACCACTAATTAGGAGGCCGATACTGTGTTTCAGCACATAAAATATTTAGACTGGGAAAACTGTGGGCTTGGTGTTCTCAAAAGAAGAGTTGGTGCCAAAAAGAAGGGTTCCTGAAAAACAGAAGCAGTCTTGGAAGGAGGAAGGGCCCAGCAAGAAGATGAAGATACCAGTTGGAGGGAAAGATCCTGGAAGTGGAGGAAGATCCAGGGGATCAGAGAGCTGCATGGAAACGAATGCCAGGGGATGCCCAGAGGCCTTGACCTTTAATGCCCAAGACTGGTAACTGCAAGCAGCTGCACAAGCACAGAACCAACACAACTGTCTGCTCCACCTTCACAGACCAGCAATGATCTCGCTGCTGGGAAGGGAAGCTGAGACCTAGGTAATGCACCTGGGAGAAAACCCGTGAGTGAGTGTGAAATGAGAAGGTGTAAAAGCTCTGTTCTCATTAGTTCTAAAATAAACCCCAGTATCCAGTTCCACTAGAGGTTGCCATTTACTCTCTCATCTGTGACACCTAGAAGGGTGTGTCTTCAAAGTTCTCTTTTATGGAAAGAGTACATTGTTTTTTTCAGTAATACCAAATTCTGGTACAGGAAATCTAGTAGTAACTTTAGCAGTGGAATTACCAACATCTACCTGTGCAGAAAGTGTTTACAGTAGTACAGAAGATGAAGTAAACAAGATGTTTCTATTTTCAGAGAAATAAGTTTTGAGCTACTAGCATAATTTAAGGAATGACTTTAATAGCTGGGATAGCAGGAAAGTGTTAACTGGTTCACATTTTGGTTCAAAACCAAAAGAATAATAAGGTCAAAAGTTCTGTTTTGTGGGACAGGGAGTGAAAACAGTGAACAGGATGTAGACAAGGTATTTTACAAATCTTGAGTTGCATGAAAATCATTGTATTTATTAGTAGAACAATTTAGTTATTCTAAACTGGTTTTGTTTCCCTATGTGCCATTATGAAAAGTAATAGAAACTCAGAGGATTTGACTTTGTAAAAATAGTCATTGATCTCCTTAAAAATTAGGATGTACAGAATGGTATTGAAAGAGGGCATGCTTTCCAAAACATCAAAAGATTTGGCTAAAACATCTTGTAAAATAAAATTTATGCCAAGCTAAGATTTCTAACATACACTGTACCTGTGTTGTGCAATGCGTTCTTACCCTTTTCTTCAGGGTATGAAAATTCTTCATGACATCACAACACTAAATTATTAGGTTAGGAAAAGGAAATGCAAGAAAAGAAGATATTGTTACGTAACAGATCATCTTCATGACACAGGGATGAGGTCATTAGATGCATACAGAAAACAGTTTCTTTTAAAGGAAAGGAGTGAAACAAGAATCTCCAGAGAAGTTATAATCAACCATTGTCACAGGGCCAGCAGCCTTGGTGAAGCTGTTTCATTAGGCACGAGTACTAAGTCCTACTCAATGGTATTTGGCCTAGTGTTGCTGGTTTTGCCAACTCTACTTGTAGAGTTCTGTCTTGTGAAGGTTTGGCATTATTTTGTTTCCATTCATCTGCATTTGGTGCCTTGTTTATGGTCACTGTTATGTATAACTTAGTCTCCAGACTAGTTTTGCTTAAACTGTTACGCCTGTGTACACAAACTCTTAAGAAGACATCTTCTGTGTAATTCACTACATCTTTCAGAGAGCTCAGAGTTGTATTTGGACTTCTCTAGCTTAAGAAAAATAACTGGAATTGCTGTGGTTTAGGCTGTTGATTTTTTTTTTTTTACTTTTTTTTTTCCTTTGTCACTCCTAAAAGTTCTGACTTTCAGTTGCAAAATAAGGAGAAACAGTAACACCTCTCATAGAAACCACACTTTGACAAAGGTGAGCATCATGCTGCACTGAGAAAATATTTAGATTTGGATCTGTGTTTTTTTCTGTAAAGAAAACCTAAACTAGGTAGCTGTTAGTATTCAGTCACTTTATAAGTGACTTAAAGGGTGAGGGGGAAAAGGTCATACTGAGTATGCTTAACTTTTCTAAATTGTTTTTACATAGAAAAAAACAGTGAAGGGGTGTTATAAGCTGCCACTCCTTCTAACAGCTCTGTGGCTTAGGTATTCCTCCTGCCCAGCCCAGAAACCCCAGGCTTTCCATCCCAAGCTGATTTTCCATTTGCAGTTTCAAACAGTAGCAAGGCTGAGTGTGCACCTTGGAAACAGACATACGGAGGACGCTGGTGTGGCTGGCTACACAGACTGCAACGGATAAAGCACCCAGCAGCACCCAGCTTCAGTGCTACCAGGACTCAAAGCATAAATGTAGACAGCCACTTCCCCTTTCTCAGGCTGGTAAGGATTGAAGTTCAGTAGTGAAAACACTCGCACCCCCACTCTAGATTCACAAGTACGTTCATGGACCCATTGAGCAGCCAGAGAGCATGGCCCCTCTGTCTCTCCCATACCCCTGCCCAAATCTTGGGCCTTCTTATCTGCTCTGTGGGTCTGCTACCTGCTGGCTAGTCCAGCTTGATGATTGCTAATGAACAGGTGCGCTTACATGCTCATCCCACAGGTACCACGCACCCATGGGTCCCACTAAATATCAACATGACCCCTCTGCCTACCTAATACCCCTGACAAGACCCATGGCCTCCTACTTGCTGGTTAGTCCAGATTGAAGTTTGCCACCAAACTACATGCATGCATCCCAGGTTTGGGGAAGATACGGACACCCCCCAGCAGCTGGCACCTGGCACAAGGGCTGTGACCCACAGTCCTGCTCCAGCTGCTGGCGCTGAGCCCCTGCCTCGCCTCGCTCATCCTGGACCCCTCAGCAACTCTGCCCAGGACACACACCGGTCCCATCCTAGAGGCTGGAGCAGACACTCACACGCTCCTGTTGCTGACACCACAGGCTTGGGCTGCCTACACACCTGGTCTGACTCCAGTTGCTAGCACCAAGTCCCCTCACACAGGTCTCACCTGTAGCTAGCACTCTGGGCACCCCATGAGATGATCCAGAGAGTTATGGTCACTCCAGCTACTGATGCTGAGACTCCACTTGCTGGCACCACAGTCCCAGAGCCCCTAGACCCCTGGTCTGACTGCAGTTGCTGACCCCAAATTCACTCACACCAGTCTCACCAGTTGCTGGCATCTCATCTTTACAGCACTCAGGTACATGGGATAGTCAGATTACACGGAAAAATAGTTAAGAAAAGATTTAATAAGAAGATAGGACAGACTGGTGGTCAGGAGCAGTGCTCAGACAAGCACACTGACCAGCCTTAGTTTTCACAAAACTGTCCCCTTTCCATCTATTCCCCACTTTGTTCCTCCCCGACCCTTTTCCTTAACAAGTTTTGCATAGTCCCACAGACGCAGTTCAAATATCTCAAACTCTTATGTTCCTCTTTTTTCCCCCTTATTAGTTACAAAGTCCAGGCTGGCCCTCTCCAAAGCTGTGCCTGTAGTTTCTTAATGGCCCATCAAATAGTGACTGGAGACATTTGGTCTTCTGCATCATCTTTGTTATCCCTTTTCTCTCAGGTCTGAGTCTCCACGTGCTTTTGTTTGTGGCTTCCCCCTTTCTTCATCTCCTTCTGCATTGAGAAGGTCTTTGACTGGATAACCTTAATAAAGGAGATGCTTTCACCTTTCACATACCCTTATATCACCCATCTTTATTTAGTGGGAGAAAGAGCTTAGGAAGTCATGATATTGCCCTAAGTAACTGTCTGCTTTGCCTCGACATATATAGAATTTATCAATTTCCCCGATTGAAAAGCTTTCCAGATAACAGAGGAAAAAACAGCAGGTGTCTGTGAAAAAAGCTGTGGCCTGTATTATCTGCCCCATTCCCCACAGACCTCTGGGCTTGCTGCTGCTTCAGGATACAGTAGACAGTAGCTACGACTCAGCTGAGGACGTAGCAGTTACCACGGCTGCTCAGTGCTCTGTTTCTCAAGGCGGTAGCCCAGAGCAGCACCCTGATTTTGCCCTTTCTACCCTATTAGTTCCTTTTTGCTTTTCTTGTGACAAAGGCCCAGATCACACAGAAGGGCAGGAGGCAGGACCTCTCTACTTTGCACCCCTACTGATGTTCCAGGATCCTCAACATCCCACGAACCTTTCCTGACTGTGATGTTGAGCAGCTTTGACGGGTTTTAGGTATAATAAATTTGGTTAAGCATAGCTTTTTTGTTGTCTTCTATATTCCCATGTCATTTCTAGTCAGAGATTAAGAAAAAAACCCCAACACTAACACAAGAGGAAAATACAAGATCTTTTCAAGGTAGTTCTCAGGAATGAAATGACATCTATTTAGATGTTAGAATATGCATTCCTTCAGTGTATCTATCACAAAATGTTTCAAAACTTGAAATTAATTTCTGAGGATATTGGGAAAAAAATTAGAAAGAAAATGGAAAAAAGAATCATTAAGAGTTGAAACCTCATGAAGTCAACCTCATGAACTTCAACAAGAAGTGCAGACTCCTGCACCTGGGGAGGAGCCCCCCCATGCACCAATATATGCTGGGGGCCACCAGCTGGAAAGCAGCTTGGCAGGAAAGGTCCTGGGGGACCTGGTGGACACCAGGTTGAACATGAGCCAAGCAACGTGCCCTTGCCACAAACAAGGCTAATGGTATCCTGGGCTGCATTAGGAGACTGTTGCCAGCAGATCAGATCAGGGGAGATGATCCTTCCCCTCTACTCAGCTCTGGCAAGGCTGCACCTGGAGTCCTGTGTCCAGTTCTGGGCTCTTCTGTACAAGGGAGATACAGACATACTAG